GGATTAAGTCAAGGATGATTTCATTAAATGTGACTTAGTCACGTTAAGACAATAATTGACCAAAAATTCAATCACTTGTTCATTTTATCGGAAACCTACAAACCAAGGCGAGAACTGTCATCAAGTAATATTTTGCACCAAAATTGGAAAAGATCTTGGTGTGGTTGTAATTTATTTCCGCTTTTCAACATATTTGAGCGGGCTGCCAACTTCTACTCTCCATAACCCCTTAGGTAGGCCTGGTGGAGGCTAACGGAATGACAATACAGCGCGTTGTTTTGCTCAAAATTTTGGCCATTTTCCAAGTGATACAAGCTACCCAATGCTAGTCCATTTGTCACCGGTATATAACGTACGTATATATGAATACATATATACAATGCGTTGGTAATATTTTCAGTGAACTGTGCTGTTCTTTACAAATTGACAAAAAAGCTATTTGGACAAGCCTTCGTGTGTGTGCCTGCACTAATCCAGCTCGACTTAATTAAACAATGAAGCAATGAATCGACATGATGCCATGAAAGGGACATCTGTATTGGTAAAGCCCATTCATGCAAAGTTAATCTCAAACTATGTACCTCTTTCTTACCTTGATGAACTTTAAGGTCATCTTTAAGTGTTTGGGATTAAAGAGGTATTTGTAGACCGCCAACAGTATGTTGATCTTTACAAAAACTGCAGGTGTGTAAGACCTGACCTTATAAGGCTGTTCTAGCGGAAACATTGAAGATGCAGAATCTGTAAATTATCTTGTAGATACTAGTATTCAAAACACTACGAAAGAAGGCTGGCATTCAGGCATGTTTTATGTTGGTCCCCGTGCTGTGGCGATCTCAGCAGAAAAGCTAAGAAACCATTTTTGCCACACTGGATGCCATGATGCCAGGCTGTTTCCAGAGCCTATACAGACCAAATTCCCAGCTCCCCAAAGCAAATATTACCACCACCCCACTGCTTTTTAGACCTTGAAAAACCTCATTGAAGGCTCTTGAGCCGAGGAGCTGGCCTGTGTAGGCCCTGGAAACAGTCTGGTACCCTGGCTATCGTGAAACGAACCAGCCCCACCTGACTCCAAACCACTTGAAAAGTTGTTTACGACTCTGGCCCAGGTGTGCAGTCAGTAATCCGTGTGGATTTTACACGGAAACTTCGGTAATCTCCGTGTCCAGTATTACATACCATGCGGGAAGCCACCAATAACTCTGACCAATAACTCCAAGTAGCCTTGTAAACAGACCATCGTGGCTCCCCGATCTCTACGGCGCTTGCCCACCAAGCCTCCCCCACAGCGCACGACAAGTCTCTACCAGGCTCCTTTGCAGGCTGAATATATTGTAGAAATCGGCCTAAAAGGAATGTAGCAGGCCAAATTAGCCATCCATATATTGACTTCTCTATGGCCGGCTATTTAAACTCCAATGGCAATAATCAGAAAGACAGGCTAAAAGAATTGGTTGCCAAAATACTGGTGTTGAAACACTCCAAAGCCAGCCTGTAGAGAATTGTCACTAGGCAAGGAAATCCTCCCGAGGCGAAAGCGTATAGAGGTCCATTAGCCAATGTAATTGGTTCCAAGAATCAGCTCCAGATCTCATGTGTCATAAGGAGTGGCACACCTGTTATTAGCATCTTAGATCACGTACACAAACAACAAAGCAACGTAAGCGTACTTCTCAGGAGGCTTTGGTTCTCTACTACCATTACAACACCTAGTCTTCATACTTAACTGAGGAAGATCAAAATACGCAGTTGTACATTTGCTTAGATTATGAATTGCATAGAAAGATGCCAAGTTGCAAACAGTACTGATTTCATGGCCTCTGCCAGGCTTCGGGAAGCGGCTGGAAAGAGTAGAAATTGACCAAATACTTGGCAAAAGACAGATGATGTGCCAAAGGAGTTAGTCCGCGCTAATAGAACACTTTGCCGCTCCCTGCGTACTGCTATGAGTTATTTGGCCTGATAGAGGCTACTTATTTCTTCCGACAATCGCCCTGTCATCTTTAATAGTCGAGAAAGGAGAGAAAAAATGTGGAAGCCAAAGGTCAACCTACAACCACCTGTGCTGGTATCAGATTCTACCCACACTGTTTCCAGCTTGTTTTTAGGCAACCGCCGGGACACGCAAGTGGTCTCAAAACACAGCACATAATTGGCAAAGTAGGGCAATGTACCACTGCCAGTCTGTAACCATGGTTACGCTGGCAGCTTACTAGTATTTACCAGGTTACTCCCCTCCCCAAGGCCGAGGGTCACAAAAAGTTCACATCTTTTTCTGAAAGTGTCACGAAAAGTTCACAAAGTTTGCAAGTGTCAGTCTTTGCTCTTATCTTTTTATCAGTTTTCAGGGCTAGCCCTTAAAAATAGCCTCTAGCTAGTTAGGCAGTCCTGAATGTATGTGTATCATTTCATACAGCCAGGACAGGACATAAATTACTAGTATAATAAATCAACTCAAATTAGATCTTTTTATCTTTCCACTCCACTTGCTTCGTCCAGTCGCCTAATATTATTAATTACGTCTGGTGGCTGTCAATGCAAAATGTGACGAAATTTGGTGTCCACAAAGGATAAAAATTGCAACAACACCAATATTAGAACGTTCGAATCCGGTGTTCGAATTTTCGAAAGCGGCGCGCTCGAATCGCGTTCGAATCATTCGATGGAACATTTGGAACCCGGAACACTTCTATCGAACCGTAATCGCTGTTTACAAGGCTATTCCGCTCTTCGTAAGGGTCACAGAAAGTTCACCAACTTTGAGAGTGTCAGTCTGCCCATCCTGTTATTATCTTTCCAGTCCGCTGACACCGTTCTGTCGTGTGATGGTAATTACCCGGGACAGCTGACAGCCCGGCCGGTACGCGTAATGGACCAGGCGGGGCTCGTTATACTTCACTAGGCTAAAGGCGTGAAAAACAACTCATCGAACAAAACACGCCTCAGCTCTCCCGGCGATAACAAGATAGCAAGGTGTAATCCTATCCCCTGGGGCGTCCTTGGCCAATGAAAGTTGATCGACGCCGTTGTATCTTAGCTCAGAAGTAATCTATAGCCTCTACCAGGCTTCAGAAGCTGCTGGATAGCCTCTACCAGGCTTCAGAAGCGGCTAGAAAGTGTAGAAACTCCCCTGGCATGTTATCTGTCTATTTGGGCAATTTCTACTTCTTCTGAAGCCTGGTAGAGTCTAGATTACTTCTTAGCCAATGAAAGTTCATCGCCGTTGTATCTTAGTTTAGAAGTATTCCAGCCTCTTCCAGGCTTCAGAAGCGACTGGAAAGTGTAGAAACTCCCCTGGCATGGTATCTGTTTATTTGGGCAGTTTCTACTTCTTCTGAAGCCTGGTAGAGTCTAGATTACTTCTTAGCCAATGAAAGTTCATCGCCGATGTATCTTTAATAGCTCAGAGGTAATCTAGCCTCTTCCAGGCTTCAGAAGCGGCTGGAAAGTGTAGAAACTCCCCTGGCATGTTATCTGTCTATCTGGGCAATTTCTACGTCTTCTGTAGCCTGGTGGAGTCTAGATTACTTATGTGATGCATACGTCATGAACTTTCATTGTATGGGGGTTTTGGCCAATGAAAGTTCATCGCCGTTGTATCTTAGCTTAGAAGTAATCTAACCTAGCTCTACCAGGCTTCAGAAGTGTGACTGGAAAGTGTAGAAACTCGCCTGGCATGGTATCTATCTGGGCAATTTCTACTTCTTCCGAAGCCTGGTAGAGTCTAGATTACTAATCTGTGATGCATACGTGATGAACTTTCATTGTATGGGGTTTTGTCATAATTTTCGCAGACTTAATTTAAGGGTCATGGACATCGGGCTTTCAGAATGGGGTCGTAGCTTTACACAACTCCTGCAATGAAATGTGCAAAGACTGAGTGTAACATGTCGTTCGGTGTGATATAGCCAGCTGCCGCCGCGCCTCGTGCCTGCGAAGCTGGTGTGTTACACCAAAGGGCGGTTATACCGGCTATACTAATACAGAGGTAGCTTTTCAGTGTTATTAAACGAAAGCAAACCCTTCCTGGCGAATGTCTAAAATCTGACTTACGACAAAGGGCAGTTCCCCAGTAATAAACTGCCACTTCGCGTGCAACAGGAAGAACTGTGGAATCCGGGACAACTTTTCGCTCGCGAGGAAGAACAGCGGGAGACAGAGACATGTTCCAGAGACGAGGAGCGCAGAGGTCGCCAAGGTGCAAGTGTTAGAGCCAAGCTGTAGTCTTAAAGGAGGAAGCGATCTCACCTTGGCTAACTCCGTCTTGGCACGCTTGGCTGAACATTCTTGAACCGTGCTGTTTTTGGTGGTGAAGCTTGCCCTCAAATCCTCATGTGTTGACAACCTGCCATCGAAACAGATGTCATCACTTTCAGATGACATTCAGGGGTCTACGGGGGAACACAGGGTGTCAAAATGAGACAGCTATTTTGATGGGGCACTTAGTCTAGCTTACTGTGATAAGTGGTAAACAAAGGAAATGTAATACTCATCAAACATTGTTTTCTTCACCACTTTTCTTCTAAAATTGTTATAATAGTGCAAAGAAAATAAATGACATTTACCTTCAGGTGGTCAAAGCCTAACAAATTACTGTTCTGTTTATTCTGGCTAAAACACAATCAAATACACATACATACACACACACACACACGCACACAGACACACACACTTTCAACCTTGTCCTACTACATAATGTAACCCAACACCACAAAAGGGTGTCTGCTACAGCACCAGTTACCATGGTGACAGCCGTTTGGTCCAAGTCATTGATCTTACTTGTTTGAAGCAGAAAGACAACAAAACAATATCTTTTAATTCTGCAAACTTCTACATAATAATCCCCCCCCCCCCACCACACACACCCATACACCCACCCCACACACTCACAAACGGTACCAAAAACATAACTTTCTGCCTTCTGGCGAAAGTAATGATATTGAAGAAAAACCAAGTGGTGAAATATTGGACGATAATTCCCCACTCTCTCCTCCCAGTGTTCCAGGATGTCCACGTGATGATGTTCATCGGTTTCGGCTTCCTCATGACTTTCCTGAAGAAGTACGGCTTCGGCAGTGTGGGGTTCAACTTCCTGGTGGCCGCCTTCGTGCTTCAGTGGGCCACGCTCATGAGCGGGTTCCTGCATCTGCACCACGGCAAGATTGTGGTCAGCATCACCACGTAAGTACTTGATGTAATAGTATAACTATTAGTACATTTAGCCCAGTAAGACTGCGCAGTAAGACTCTTCAATGCCAGTGACAATGGCTGATACATGTATCTGAAAACCTATGCCTGCTATTTGCTTGCATATAGCAGAGTGAATGGTGTTTGTACATATTTGTATATAGTGTGTTTTTCTGTGTACCTGTCCTGTCTTGCTTTTTTAACTTATTGTAAAAATCAGTTACGCAATTCAGGGATGCATGCAGCATTCCCTGCTTTTGTATGATTTTGTTGATTGAATAATAAACTGTATAAACTGTATGTGGGCAAGAACATGTTAACTAGAAAAGTAACATTTGCAAAGCAAAAGAATAATGTTTCACATGGTATAACTACTGCTTTTCCCTACTGAATCACATTCAGGAATCCCCTCCAATCCTACCCCGCAACTTGCTACATAATGTAACCCAACACCGCAAGGTGTCTGCTACAGCACCCGTTACCATGGCGACAGACGTCTGGTTCAGGTCATTAACCTAATATGTATGGAGAAGAAGAGGAAACATAGCATAAACAATTCGTTTTCCTTCTGCGAAGATTAGTATAATAAACATGATTACATGGTGATATGATATTTTTTCCTTTAGTACTAAGGACAATGGAAATGATAGAGAATACTAGAGATAGTGATGAAGACTACTAGTATATGATGTTTTCTTGTTGTCTTCCGTAGCCTGTTAACGTCAGACTTCGCGGCGGCCACCGTGCTGATCTCCATGGGCGCGGTCCTGGGGAAAGTCAGCCACATCCAGCTCATCATCATGGCCTTCGTCGAGATTATCTTCTTCAGCATCAACGAGTGGGTCGGACTCACCTTCTTCAAGGTTAGGAGAAAATAGCCCCGTTAACTTCTCAAAAACTTTGTTGATACTTGATAGCCTTTAAGATGAAGAGAAATTAGTTGTATTGTTGAATATGTAAAATAGAAACATTTCCTATAATCTAAGAGCATCTTCCTGAAACCTCCTAGATTTCTACTATGGGTGTAATCTTTGGCCAGACTCGAGTTTTATTACTTTCCTGTTATGTATACAATCATGTATGTTTCTCTGTGTGTGTGTGTGTGTGTGTGTGTGCACATGTGTGTGTGTGTGTGTGTGTGTGTGTGTGTGTGTGTTAAATTTGCTTGTGAGCCCATACAGAGAGGTGGGGAAAATTACCTACCAGTAACTACATACCACAAAAAGTCATAAATATGAAGATAAGTCCTAGAAACTGCTGGTGCATCCTCTATAACAGGCTTCAATGGCGGCTGGAAAGAGTAGAAATAGATTGGTCTACTAAAGGAGTCCACTTTGCCACTCAGGCTACATGTTGGAAGGTCTAACAAACATTTGTCCACCCACAGGCCGTGGATGTTGGTGGCTCCATGTTCGTGCACACGTTCGGAGCGTACTTCGGACTGGCGCTGGCCCGGGTCCTGTACCGGGAGGACATGCATGGACACAGCAAGGAGGGATCCGTCTACCACTCCGACATCTTCGCCATGATAGGTAACTTTTCTTATGCTTACCTTCTTTTTGGAAGGAAACCATGTTGTTTTTATCTTCATCTTCTTCAAAGCCACAGCGGATAGAGAGAACGTGGAGCGGTCTTTTTTCCCCGACTATGTGATGTCAGCTAGCCTCTACCAGGTCACTTGAAAGAGTAGAAATTGGCCAAATACACAGATGATATGCCAGGGGAGTTGGTCTGGGCTAAGTGAACAGTTTGCCGCTCCCGGCCAATTTCTACTCTTTCCAGCCCCTTCCCGAAGCCTGGTAGAGGCTAGATGTCAGCTAGTACAGACGCTATTCACAACAAAACAGACCGCAGTATGAGTTAACACTGCATGCCTGGCGTGCGTAGTAGGAGTGTTCTATAACAACATGTCGCGCCGAGCTGTCCTAGTCTTCAGGACATGTCAGTCGCAACATGTCGTCCTCCCACGTTTAAACTTTGGGGTCCTTTTCCACAAGACCAAAATCGTGTTTGTGTGACCCTCTCTAGAGTTGAAATACAATGTACCATGTAAAAGTATGATTAAAAAAAATTCAAGCACAGAAAACATCACAAAATCGTTCTTTGTGTATGAAAACTCTGGTCGCTAAGTGGTCAAAGGGGGCGTAACCGGTTACACTAGTCTAGGAGACCTGGTGTACTTTTCTGTGACAGATGACGTCAGGATCGATGTTGGACGGAAAACACGATCCACGGTGATGGGTTCAAGCTGTTGGGGTGTCAACTGGGGAAGATTTCAAAGTAGTAAAGTGAAAACGTTGTTGCGAGAGGATGTCCCAAATCACTCATTTTCACCTGAGTCGAGTGAGAGAATATGTGTGAAGTTGCCTTTCCTAGTGGCACAACACGATGGATTTAAACCAGAACCACTGGATTCTTATTCCAAAACTTTAATAGTCTGGATGTCAGACTGTTCAAAGGGCCAAGACATAGGGTCTTGTAGGGATGTCTGTGGTAAAATTTCCACATGCTGGCTCTGGAGCCGAGAAGCTAGCCTGTATACTGGCCCTGGAAACTGTCTAGTACCCAGGCTACAACCACCATCTCTAATGCTTTCCTCTGTCTTCTCTGGCACATGTGAACGCAGCCTTGGCCCAACCAGTTAGGCCATGTTAATTTGATTATATGGATGACATCCGCGCGCGCATGAATTTTCGGCCGTTTCCAAAAAAAAAGAAGTTTTCAACCATACTGTAAATCGTACAAAACAGTTGCAAAATGAGCAAAATATACCGTAAGTTACAAAAAAATAAGTAAAAACTATACCAATGTCGTAGAATGCCAAAATCAAACGGAAAAAGACGAAATTGTAAGGAAATGAACTTGAAGATTAGATTATTCGCCAAACCATATTCTGTCCCATTTGTTCAACCCTCATGACCACGTAGATTTCATAATGAAAACAACTTTTTTTTATTCGCACGCGCGCATCAGTTTTGGGGCTCCCGGAGGATGTCATCCATATAATCAAATCAACATGGCCTTACTTATCGAGGAAGTATGAAGTCTAAGTCAATTGAAAGTAATATATATTATACATTCTCCCAGGTACGGTGTTCCTGTGGCTGTTCTGGCCCAGTTTTAACGCCGCCTTAGCTCCCGGAGACGACCAGCACCGAGCCGTCATCAACACCTACTTCTCCCCAGATCATGTGGCCGACCTGGCCCAGTGCGATGTAGAATCAGAGATGGACAGGGCTCAGTCTGAGACCCTGCAGATTGCAGATAACAGAGTAGGTTGGAGAAAGGTGGTTGACAGTGAAATCTGTGGTGCCCCAACGATCAACCAGACAATGTGATAGATAATGATGATGATTCTGACTTACGAGACCATTTTTCTTCTGAATTCCCCCAGGTACCGTGTTCCTGTGGCTGTTCTGGCCCAGCTTTAACGCCGCCCTGGCTCCCGGAGACGACCAGCACCGGGCCGTCATCAACACCTACTTCTCCCTCGCCGCATGCGCAGTGGTCACCTTCGCCATCTCGTCTGCTGTGGAGAAGGACGGCAAGGTCAACATGGTAAGGACCCGGATGTAAAACTGAAAAATGTTTTACTTTGAAATTCGTGTACGGCGGTTTTGTTTTCGGTGTGTTTGTCTGTTTGTTTGTTTGCTTGTGTTTCCGGAATTTTGAGCAATAGTAGAGTCAGTGATGTAACCACAGACTGACAGGAAGGTCGCATTGGAGGTCAAAATGGTCTCTCCAAATTCATGCATTGTCTCTACTAATGAAGGACAGGATTAAGCAAATTTTGATGCATTAAATCTCAAATTAGGATGACTTGAAGGCGGTAGTACTTAATAACAACTTACGTTAATACTTTTGCTTCATCCTTCAAGTCACAGATTGACTCCACAAACAATGAAAAATTTTCGATAATTCTCCATAACTTTGAGCTACATTTCATACAAATTTAGTTACCAATGATGGTAAATGCAGTCTATGATAATTGAAGTCAATTGTGGATCCAAACAAAGTCAAATGTTACCTGTTTTCGATCCACAGGTGCATGTCCAGAACGCTACCCTTGCCGGAGGTGTGGCGGTGGGTACAAGTGCAGACATGATGGTCCACCCCTGGGGGGCGCTTCTGATCGGCAGCCTGGCCGCCGTACTGTCTGTGGTTGGATACTCCTACATCACGGTAAGGACAAGCCCATTCAGAATTCGAAGTAGCCTCCACCAGGCTTTCCTTAGAATAGTAGAATTTGACAAAAATGGGGTCAAAAGAACTCTACTTAACTGTTTTTGAACCCGCCTTCTTAGTGTACTAACTAAAAACTGATTCAAAAACGTTGTGAAGCATGTAGGAACAAGAACATATTTACCTGAAACTGGTAGCGGAGTAGTGGTGTTCACTAATTGGCCACGTAGCAGCTTTCAACCCAACTTCGCTGAAGCAGATTTCGTTTTCTTCTTTTGGGTAACTTAGTCCTCACGACCAGTCCTTACGCCAACGGCCTTCTGGCATTCCCCTGAGCAAAATTCGCTTAAAAAGATGCCTAGGACATCGAACCACCAATCTTTCCCAACTCCAATGGTTGTCAGGAGGGTCGATCGTAACATTTTCTACCATTTCGTGGGGTCGTGTGGCGTAGTGGCAGAGTGCTCGACACGGAACCAAGAGGTCCCGGGTTCGAGTCCTGACATGCCACCGATCTTGTGCCTTTGGGAAAGGCACTTCACACGACATTCCCTCTCTTCGCTCAGGTGAAAATGAGCATTGTATTGTCCCCTGTGTTGGTGGTGGCATTAATATAACTCCCCTGTTTTAATGCATTTTTCTCCCATCTTCCAGCCGTTCATGGCGGACAGGTTGAAGATCCATGACACCTGCGGGGTCAACAACCTGCATGGCATGCCGGGAGTTCTGGCTGGGATCATCGGCGCCATTGTCGCTGCTGTGGCGTCACCTGCTCAGTATGGCAACAGGTGGGGGACATATTGTTTTTCCTCTATTTCTTCTTCTTCTTCTCCAAACCAATAAGGTCAATATGACCTGAACCAGACGTCTGCCACCATGGTGTTGGGTTACATCATGTTGCAATTTTATAGCAGGAGGGATTTAGACTCCTGTCAACATATATATGAATGTGTTTGAGTAAGAATTAGCAGAGCAGACATTATGCATTTGCTTTGCAAATGTTACCTTTCTAGGTTCTAAAATGTATCATCATATAGTCAGATGACGTTCAACAATCAGAAGTCCCCATTTCATATTGGTTAAGAAATCAGAGTTACGACTCCATAACTTTACAGGTGGTGATTAAATCCCATAAACACCGTGGTGTTTAAATCCTATTAACACCGCCACCAATCAGCGTCATCGATAAATGACCGCTGGTGACCCTAAATAAAACACGCATTCTGTTCTAATGACACCTCGAAACTTTAGTTACTTCATCATCTGCGGATGTTTTGTTTTCGGTGGCTCGCTATGCTTGTGTGTCCGTTGGTATTTGAATACACTAGAGCGACTGGAAGTCAAGACATGAAAGTCGATATATAATCCTTCATTTCTTTTCCTTTCATTTCATTTCCAGCGTGTACCAGATCTTCCCGGCCCGAGCCCCCATCGCCAACAGCTCGGAGCTGGCGACGATTCAGGCCGCCTTTCCCGCCATCGAGGCCGGCAGTGGCCGCTCGGCAGGACTGCAGGCCGGCTTCCAGATGGCCGCCCTCATCGTTACTCTGCTCATCGCGCTGGTCACTGGTGCTCTCACAGGTAAGGCTGCGTGTTTCTGTATGTATGTATGTATGTGTGTTTGTGTGTGTGTGCATGTGTGTGTGTACGAGTGTCTGTGTGCTATAGAGGCCGGCAGCGGGCGTTCGGCAGGACTGCAGGCAGGGTTCCAGATGGCCGCTCTCATTGTTACTCTGCTCATCGCGCTGGTCACTGGCGCTCTCACAGGTAAGGCTGCGTGTTTCTGTATGTGTGTGTGTGTGTGTGTATGTGTGTGTGTACGAGCGTCTGTCTGTGTGCTGTAGAGGCCGGTAGCGGGCGCTCGGCAGGTCACTGGCGCGCTCACAGGTCTGAAATTTATCCTTTGGTAGCTTCTAACAGACCTCAGAAAGATCTAACTCGAGAATAATCTTAAAGTTAATTTGGCAGTCTAGCTATAGGTCATGGTAAATAGTTTCCCCACGGCCTAAAAGGACATGGGTCCACCCATACAGGTATACCCACTTCGGGCTTGTCACACGTCCTCAGTCTGCAAGCTAAGTGGACTGGACTACGTACTAATAACAAAGCAACTAAAATAATCAAGTTATCTTGTATTAATAAAGTTTTTTTACCTTCTGTAGGCCTTCTGCTGCGCCTGCCGATATGGGACCACCCTGAGAAGGACTCTCTGTACGAGGACGAGGATTACTGGGAGGTGAGTACAAACTACATGTACCTGTATGGGAAAGAAGAAGACAGACCTAAGCCAATTGGAAACAAGGGATCTTAGATTATTAGTGGATGTTTGGGGACAGTAATGTACGATCAAGTTTCATAATGGAAAATGTCTACTAACTTCTCTTTTCACACATAAAGTAAATAATGTTAAAATGCAACTTAATCCTTCTTGTCTTTATAAAAAAAAATAATTGTCCACGTGCACCGTACTCAACCATTTTGTACCATAAAGACGTTTGAGTTGAGACAAGACGTAGGGCAAAAACAATTTATAAAAGCAACAAATAAGAAACACTCGAATGAAATCTCATCTGTGTTGGTAGACATCATAGTTATATAGAGTTCAATATTTGTGCCATGGCGCCAATTCACAAAGCTTGAACTCTATAAGAAACATGTCAAACTCATGACGTTACTTACACGTAAATCTCTCCCCCCATAGATCCCAGAAGAGGAGACTGCCGACATGAACGGTAGTCTGGAGGGCGTCGGGCACAAGAAGCCTGACAGCCGCGCCAGGACCGAGTCTGACACCAACAACGAGCAGGACACTAAAGTGTGAAGGGAGGAGAACTTGTCTGTCTGAAACAAGGTTGAATTTTACTACCCAACACAAAAATCGGACATACCCAAGTCTTCGACAGCTCTAAACATGTTTGTGAAGGATGAATTTGGGGTTTTGTGTTGGAATAACAGTTAAGCCTTGTTTCAGAAGACTACAGTGTAAAGACAGGAAAACTCGTCTTTCTGAAGCAAGGTTGAACTAAAAAAAATTGGACTTAGTCAAATCTTCTACTGTTCAAATCCAGTCTTTATCAATGATTATAAAATTTGGTCCAATTTATGTGTTGGAGTAGCGGTTCAGCCTTGTTTTTAGAAGTCTGAAGAAAGGATAACTCTTTCTGAACAATGTTGAGACTCTAATCCTTGTTAAGGACTCTGTAAGCAATCCACAGTGTCATCGCGTTATACAGCTGATAGCAATGGATCAAACACAATCACTGACGTAGTGGCAAAGACTAGAATTGGACGGTCAAAAACGTCCAAGTAAAGTACAGTTCATCCTTGCTTCAGAGGACTAATGCATTATTTCCCAACACAGAAATCAGACGTACCCAAATCTTCGGCTGTTCAAATGCAGCCTTTGTCAAGGATGGTTGAAAATTTGGCCAAGTCCAAATCTTATATTGAAAATTACAGATCAACCATAAAAATCTAGCATGTCCTATAAAAGGTTTGATCACTGACTTATTTAGTATCTACTTCACACCTATGGGTTGCTGGAAAATGAGCTGAATAAGATACCATAGTTTGCAAATTACACTCCTATGCCTGGCTAACTCATCTGCCATTAGTAGGCTTTACTTTATTTCCCAGCAACCCATTGGAGATTTTTGTGTAACGCTACGTAGCCGTTCAGAAGTGCAACTAACTTTCCTATGGTTGTTTAATAGAGGTAGAATGCATTGCAATTCGGAGTTAAAAACAAGTTACTTTCATGTTATAAAACAATTATGTTATAAAGTAATTTCGGAATTACATACTTCTAGACTCAAACCCACATGTGCGTCGAGACCATGGATAAATCTTAAAAACATGTGTACAAGAATGAAGAACTATGATGTTTTCCAACTAAGATATATGCATAAGTTTAATCTTTGGTGGTGACCAGAGTTTTTGACAAGTAATGTAATATGCCAGCGGATTTCATTTTGATAGAGCATTGCTTTATCTTTCATCTCAACAAACAGACGCCTTAGAGCATATAAAATACTAACAGCAATTTTCCCTTGAATTATTATGTTTATTTGGTCAAATATTTTAGGCTTCTGCCTTACTAATATACTCTTTATTATCCAACCCTTTATTTTTGATTACGCAAGGTATCTGCGTAGAGTTAGACTGCTCAAAATATTGACGCAATGTTATTCGTCCATTCAGAAGTTATATAAAGGAAAATGCGCCCCCTAGCGCCTACTTAAGTGCATACAGTGGTACATGGCAACTTGTAATTAGGTGGCACTTCATATGCAGGTTACTTATATTACTCAACATGGAGACGAAATATTCAGGTATTCACAGTGCCTTCTTGTATACGTTTATGGAAATAACGCTAAGGAATATATGGAAAGATATCTAACAGTTCTATTAGATAGCTATGTCTCAAAGGGAGACAAGTCTCTTTTCTATGTAACTTGAATTATGGTTAGTATAAGCACTGTACATGATTTTTCGAGTTCACTTACAGGTTTTGAAGTTGTAGTATTCTTCTAGTGGATTTTCAGGGTGACTAACAAATTTTGTAATTTTCGCTAACTTTCATACAAATATATGAAGTTACAATAAAAAATGTCATCTGTTGTGTTTTTCTTTGCTTTCAAAAATTGCTATCAAAAGTTCCCAAAATATGGAAGCGTCCAGTTTGCATGGGGATGTATATGGACGTGCCAATTTTTGCAGAGGGGTGGATTCAATAGCCTGGTTACCAAACCTATTATAGCTCCCGAGTCCTACATCCTCTTGCGGAGAGGCTGTGGGAATCGGGAGCTATAATAGGTTTGGTAACCAGGCTATGGATTCAATAAATTCCATTTTGAAGTGAAGTGTAGCCCATTTGTTGGTAGAAGTAACTTTGAAGTAGTCCATTTCTACAAAAGTTTGTTATAGAAGAGAACGATTTTCCAGGAGATGGAATTAAATATGCTGTATTTGCTTGCAATTCTTGTTTGAGCTCCTCAGTGGGCAGGGGCGCTCTCCCTGACTTTCCCAGTACTGAAGGGCAGCGAGTACCCGGAAATGTTATCCAGCTTACTACTGAACATCTTCCAAATTTAGCCTTGCTTTTGATATGGCAGAGCACAAGGGAGGGAGATGGAGTGAAATATGTTGTATTTGCTCGCAAATCCAGATTGAGCTCCTCGATGGGCAGGGGCGCTACTCCCTGACTGTCCCAGTACTGGGGGGCAGCGAGTACCCGGAAATATTATGCAGTTTACTTCTGAACATCTTCCAAATTTAGCCTTGCATTTGATATGGAAGAGCGCATAGGAGGAAAATGGAGTGAAATATGCTGTATTTGCTCGCAAATGTTATTTGAGCTCCTCAGTGGGCAGGGGCGCTACTCCCTGACTGTCCCAGTGCTGAAGGGCAGCGAGTACCCTGAGATGTTACCCAGTTTACTACTGGACACCTTCCAAATAGCCTCGCAGTTGATATGGAAGAGCACATGGGAGGGAGATGGAGTGAAATATGCTGCATTTGCTCGCAAACCCAGTTTGAGCTCCTCAGTGGGCAGGGGCGCTACTCCCTGACTGTCCCAGTACTGAAGGGCAGCGAGTACCCGGAGATGTTATCAAGTTTTCAACTGGACATCTCCCAAAGTAGCCTCGTATTTGATATGGAAGAGCACATAGGAGGGAGATGGAGTGAAATATGCTATATTTGCTTGCAAATTCTTGTTTGAGCTCCTCAGTGGGCAGGGTACCAGTCCCAGTACTGGGGGACAGCGAGTACCCAGAAATGTTGTCCAGCTTACTACTGGAAACCTTCAAAACTAGCCTTGCATTTGATATGGAAGAGCACATAGGAGGGAGATGGAGGGAAATATGCTGTATTTGCTCCCAAACCCAAGTTGAGCTCCTCAATGGGCAGGGGCGCTACTCCCTGACTGTCCCAATGCTAAGAGACAGCGAGTACCCGGAGATGTCTTCCAAGTAGCCTCACAGACTTCAAGTGGGGCAATGCATGTTTCTAGTGGCAACTAGAGCGGTGGTTTCTTTTCAGGGGGTTAGCCTTTGTCTACGTAAAAAAAAAAAAATGAAAAAAAAAACACATAATGTGTATCAGCACTACCCCCCAGACATAAATGCTGCTGCTCCAAAAAGTCTGCAAAGCTATTCCACAAGGTAAGATGCATGTACAAGTACAGAAATTGAATACAAGTTCTAGTTACAAAATATTGACTTCATGAACTGCAGAGGAATCATATGTTTGTTAGAATAAATTTCTATCTCATTACAAAAACAATGTTATTCTTCGAGTCTTAGTACTAGTATACTTGGTTGTTGTTGTCATTGTATATGTATGGTGTGCTGGGGAGGGGGGCGGTACGGAACAAATGTGTTCGCAAGATGACTTCGCGACAAAAAGTTTTTCGCGAATATTGCTAACTTACAACTCTTGCGAATAAAAATGCATTTACAGTAGAAATGTTTTAAATGCTACAGTACTCATAAATAAAACAGCACAAAAGATATTTGTTCGATTTTAATGAAATATTTCTCTAGCTTCTATAGTACATGTATCTTGCACCTATTGACATATTTTTGGACAGACTATAATACATGTAATAACTAAACAGTAATACTAAAAACAGACAAGACAATGGGTTATTTGCTCTATATACCTGACACGATTGACTAAAAATGGAGACTCCCTAAAACATGTAAGAAAAAAGTTATCTGTATATGAGTAAAAGGAAAGACCTGGGGATATTGTACAATAGAGCAAAAGCCATTGATTATATAATTAAAATCACTGTTTTTACATGGAAGAGACTACCAGGTAACAAAGACAGGAGGACAGCATGTATGTACAGAACAAGAATTACATGAAATGAAGTACCGGTAAGTACATGGCACATAGCTCTACCTTAAGTACAATAGCTACTTCTACTGAAACATATACTAAAAGACAAAATGTTTGACATAGTATATACACAACATTGAACTTTAAAATAAAACTCTACATAGCAGGTGCTAGATGTAACATTGTTTCAAAAGTCATGTATTTTTGCACTCTGTATATTTCTTGAAATTTGGAACTGATTTAGTTGAAATTTGGAATGACATTTTCAAATGGCAAGAGAACAGTAGGTTGAATACTGGTGGAGGTAAAAATGGTTGATTTTTAAAATTCAATATCCTTCCAAATTAAAATTGCATTATCTTTTTCTTTGAATTCTCCATGAAGTAAAAAACTTGGAGTTTTCATTGAATTTCACATCAAAATGTTTTGCTTTTTATACAGATTTTCAGAGTTGTCTTCTGTTATCAACACTCAAGTGTTTGGAATGATCTTTTGTGTACTAAGATTTTAGTTCCAGCTTCCTTTGTTCGTCCTGATTGCAACTACATGTAAAAGCTTGCTTGCACTATTTGCACAAACAGACAGGGGGCGTTTCTACTCCATCTCCTCAATCATGTCCAGTGGCGGTAACTTGGCAACCTCGTAGAACACACTGGAAAAAAACAAAACAAATCATGTCGTATAAGTTAGAGAGAATTGTATTCGAAACAAGTGAACTTAAAAAAAAATGAAACAGTGAGTCTGAATGTTAACAATTATGATGTCAATTTTTGAGGGCAAGGTCTCTACACACAAACAGGGAGTGAACATTCTGGTGGTTTTCTAATCACTCTGTGATGGTTTCAATCTCATCAGTGGCATTGAATGACTAGGATAGCAGACATGAACATTGAGAGACCACAGGTTTCACTCCATCCATTGCAGGCTAGAAGTCAAGTCCTTGGGAAAGGCACTCTCACTCCACCCTTTGTTTGGGGAGGTAAAAGGCAGTGGAACGAGCGGGATATGCTCCATCTTCCAATACCATATCCTAGACACCGTGGACCATCAACCCACTTCCCCTAGGACTACCCTTTTACTACTTGGCTTACCTGTGGGAGTATTTTGCACGGACAGTTTTCAGTCTAGAGTCCCTCGGTGCAGCTACAATGGAGTTGAGGTGTCTCACCACGTCTTTCAAGTCATCCTCCTTGTAACCAGAGTAGTATTCCAATGTGGGAGTCTGAAACAAAGATTGCAAGGCTCAAGATACTGTACTGGTGCATGCAACACTGAGTGATTGGTAAATTAAATTTGCCAGAGTGTAGGAGGTATGGATCATACAAAAACTGTTGAAAAACCATTGCCATTATTTCTTTTGCTGTGCACCTCATGGGGTTACCATTAGTGTAGGGTTAGTAAAAATAACGTCTTGCATTTAGCTTAAATTTTGGGTACACAAAAAAGTACATAGAGCACCCTGTATATTTTGTTAGCCCTGCACATGCATTCACTCACACTCCCCCCCCGCCACTCACACACTGAACAGATGAACTCCTTACCCAGGCTTCGAGTTTCTTCATCTTGAAAGCGAGCAGCCGCCAGTTTGGACTCCCGGTACGTCACACACTCATACTCTCACTCACTCCATCCCTCCCTCCATTCACCCACTCCCTCCATCCATCCAAACAAACCAGCCATGACTTACCCAGTCTCCCAGTTTCTTCATCTTGAAGGCGAGCAGCAGGGCTGCAGCTGCCAGTTTGGACTCCCGGTACATCACACACTCATTCTCTCACTCACTCACTCACCACTCAATCATTCATTCACTCGCTCTCTACTCAATCACTCACTCCACCCTTCAACCACCCATCCTACCTTCCTCCATCCATCCACACAAACCAGCCATGACTTACCCAGTCTCCCAGTTTCTTCATCTTGAAGGCCAGCAGCAGGGCTGCGGCTGCCAGTTTGGACTCTCGGTACGTCACACACTCGTACTCCTGTAGGGCCAGTTCAAGCGCAAACCTGGCCAGAGTCAGGGTACCCATGTCTACTTTGGAGCACTGGGGGGGACAAGAAGGAGGGGTACTTAGACTTTAAGTTACAGGCAATCTGTGCAAAATAATGTCCACTTCATACACAGAAACCATGCATGCTGATCCTGTTTGGCAAGCAAGTGGAGTGGGGTTGAAATTATCAATCTAATCCAAGAAATGCTGACTTAAAATTGTACCCATGAAACAATTTGTCTATTCTAGCAGTAGATTGTTTGATTCCTTTGATTCAACAAAGGAAGCAAAGTTCTATCAAGAAAAACACAAGTAGACAAACACACACACAACAATGGCAGTGACTGAGTTTGAATTTTTAGTAAACTTTTATCTTCTCAGCTCTTGGCAGTAGCTTGTTTCATTCAGTGAGTCTGATCCTTAGCATATCTCATAAAGAATGTAATACAAAATGTATGTATCCTGGACACAGATATTTTAGACTATACTCGTAGCATATCTTCTAAAGATCTGAAGGAGAAGAGAAGGATTTTACCTTAGCTTTAATCTCCTAAGGAATCTGTATGAGAATGGGAAGTTTAAGAAGACTGTACCTTAGCATATCTCCTAAGGAACCTGTATGAGATGGGAAGTTTAGGAAGACGAGGAAGCTTAAGTTTAAGAATACCATACCTTAGCGTATCTCCTAAGGAACCTGTACGAGATGGGGAAGTTTAAGAAGAAGTCCAGTTTGACCAGGATGTTCTGCTCCATGAGGATGATGTCCTCCCGTCGGTAGGCGTCGTCACAGATGAACACAAAGTCGTCGATCAGCGGCGGACACCTCTCCTGTGGAGATAACAGAAAAACTTTTTTTTACAAGGCAAGAAAACAATACCTTATCTTGCAATCATTTTCTGTATGAAATCCTATTGTAATGAACATTTAGCATCTCTTATATATATAAGTTATAGATGAACACAAAGTCGTCGATCAGCGGCAGACACCTCTCCTGTGGAAGGGGCGGAAAAACTTTCTTTACAAGGCAAGAAAACAATAGCTCATCTTGCAATCATTTTCTGCATCAAATCCCATGGAACCTCGTAGTTTACTAATAAGTTACTCTTAGCTAACTAAGCTTATCTTATGGATGAACACAAAGTCGTTGATCAGCGGCGGACACCTCTCCTGGGGAGGGACGGAAAAACTTTCTTTACAAGAAAACAATATCTCATCTTGCAATCATTTTCTGTATCAAATCCTATTGAACCTCTAGCTTATCTTATAGATGAACACAAAGTCAATCAGCGGCGGACACCTCTCCTGGGGAGGGGATGGAAAAAACTAACAAAATGCCAGAAAGGGAACATTTGCAAATGCATGTTGACCTTCAAATGGTTTAGAATAACAAACCACTGCTGTTTATTTTTACTCAAAACACACACTATACTATATAAATATATATCTATCTATATATGATGATCTTCCTACTGTCCTGCAACTTGCTACATAATGTAACCCAACACCACAGGACACCTGCTACAGTACCAGTTGCCACGGTGACAGCCTTCTGGTCTAGGTCAATGACTCATTAACCTTATTTGTTTGTAACGGAAGAAGAAACAAGGCAAAATAATTTGTTCTCCTTCTGCAAAGGTAGGCATAAATAAAAGAAGGTAATTAGAGTATTTTTTTAAACATAAGTCTTGTACATGTGTATTGTATGTTCATTCTAAGCACACAATAAGGAAGATTCCAACCCTTCCAAAACTCACGTCAAACTTGCAGGACATGAAGAGCGCTGTTGCCCCCACCAGCTGGAGCCTCTCCTTGGTGACCCTGGTCTTGGCCAGGTAGTGGTCCACGATCTTCACCGCCTGGTACAGGGTCTCGTGGTTCAGCTCAAAATTCTCCTGGACCTATGGAAGGACACAAAGGTCTTATTATCAAAGTTCTTGACTAACACTTTGTTAGGATAGCCTAGCCTCTACCAGGCTTGGGGAAGCAGCTAGAACGTAAAAATTACAATTTGCCACAAACTACCCTGTTATCAATGTCTATTTGGCCTCTTTCCAGCTGCTTCCCAAAGCCTGGTAGAGGCTAAGGATAGCCACTAAGTTTAAACTGGCGTGAAATCAAGGAAACTTTAAGTTTTCCAGAAAAGTTATATTTGACAGACATGGACAGATAAATGATCTGCAGTAGCTTTGCCGAGTTTCTTTATGTGCGAAAGTAAAGTAAGAAAACAGTTAACAGTTTAAACATCGCCTGCTAACAGTTTAAACATTGCCTGCAAAAAACATTAGCCTTTTCTCTAATGTTGTGGTAAGTGACTGTGTGAACAGTACCCCACCTCTACGAGCCAGTCCACCAGGATAGCACGCATGTAGGGCTCCAGGTGGGCGTTGTGGATCTTCAGGTACTGAGGAAGCAGGTACTTCTCCTGGGGGAGGAACATGTTTCATTAAGTTAGGTGAAAGTGATCTTGAAGCAGGTTAACATCACAGTAACTGAGGTTTATGTCTATCAGCTAGCTTCAGAACGTCAGAAACTGACCAAACAGACAGAAAACATGCTAGGGGAGTTGGTGTGTCTTAAGGAGTGAGTACTCTTTGCCACTCTGTTTGGTCAATTTCTTTCCGGCTCTTTCCAGCTGCCTGGCTAAGTTTAGGTCACTGCTCAACTACCTTTCCACTGGTCCTGACAGACACTGTGTACAAAATTTCCAGATTCACTGTGCCAGGGAACAGAGCACCATGGCTTATGAGACACTTTGAGACTTTATCTCATTTCCTTGGGCAAGGCCTTACCTTGTTAGACTCCTATATTTTGTCCTCCCTTATCCACAAGACTTATTGAGCAGTACCATTACAGGCTTTAGAATTCTTGTAAAGTTTGAGAGCCATCCATACCTCCCTGTTCTTCATGTACTGGAAGATGTCCTGTGCGTAGTGAGGCACCAGACTGGGGTCTTTGATGTTCTCCTGGTCATAGTCATACAGGGGAGGGCTGCTGGGGATGCCCTGGGGCTGGGGAGGAAGGGAGAAGTATAAAATTAAGAACAGAAAAAGTGTGTTCTTGTGGTGTCCCTTTTTTTACTTCCACAGTACAGTCCCTCAGTGAGTCTAGAGAGACTGACTGACATAGAGGTTAACAGTCAAACCTTTACATAAGAACCACCTGGCCATTGTGATGACATTTGGTAGTCCCTTAGATAATTTTCTTGCTGACACAAGCATGAAAAAATCCTGTCTATGGTGACCACCTGTCCTCATAGACCAGATTGAATTGGTCCTGTCTTGTGGGCAGTGTTCTGGGGCAGTTTGGACTGGACTGTTGTGATAGACACAATTCTAAGGCAATGTTACCACATTCATTGCATTTTAGCAGTTTTTTTATTTACCTTGCCCTCTGCTGCTATGGCCTCCTCTGTCTTCTGTCTGTTCTTTTCATTCAGGTCCTGAACACTCAGAACTGGAGACTCTGGTCTGAAACGGGACAGGATATATTATTGAATGTTTCATCTAGTGTGCTTAGTTTCATGTAAAGAATAATATCTAACATACACAAATACACATATGCACACACACACTGTAAGTTTGTATCTGCAACCATGTATAAGCAGTACAAGTATTGTGTGTCACAGTACGAGTATGAATCAAGTATCCAACAAACTCCAAGTCCTAGCCTGGTTACCAAACCTATTATAATTTATAGCTCCTGAGTCCTACATCCTCTCCGCAAATAGAGAATGTAGGACTCAGGAGCTATAATACTATAGGTTTGGTAACCGGGCTACCAAGTGAGTCCATCCCTACCTGCTACTATCACTAGCAGAGCTGTCGCTACAGTTGGAAGAAACAGATGACTGGGAAGATGGGAGGCTATCCACAGACGATACACTCCCTTGTGAGCTTGAGGACTCCGGCTCTGTCGAGTCATCTCCAGGCAAAACCGGCTTGGCGAGCTTTCCCGGTTTGGACGCAAGCCTGCCTGAACGTCTCCTTGGCAGAACCTTCACGACTTTCTCGATCTTGGTCACTTTCTTGGCTTTCTCCTTGCCTTGAAGTTGTTGGGCAAAGGCCTGAGGGTGAATAACAGTGGATATTACGTTGATGAAGGTTAGACATCCAGGTAAACAATACTTATAGCATAGGAAATTCAAACTCTACTACTGGATAAATTACGGGAGATAATATCCAAATGTTTCGAGTGACATCCACCGCATTTTCAATGACATTATGAATGACCTAGTTATGAACCTGACATGTTCAACCATTTTTTCCAGTTGCTCAAATATGCTTTATCGTGTTCTGTTAGTTCATGACATCAGTGACGCTGAAGAAGAGTGGTGGATGTCACTCGAAACGTTTGGATAATCTCTGTAATTTATCCAGTAGTAGAGTTTGAATTCCCTATGAGGACAGTGGATATTATCAGTGGATTTATCAGAGTTAAGCCCATGTCACATATTCAGAACCTTTCCCCAACCACCAGCCAACCAAAAGAAACTGCAAAGAAAAATTTGTTTAGTCTTCACCATGCAAACAAAAAGCACAGACATAAACATTTGTGTTATAACAATTGTGAGAGAACCAATTGCAACCTCTTTACATGGAAAACAGTGACAGCTAGTTGTAGCACAAGCCTGATGAGAATTACATGTATTACTACTAGTGATTCCAGCAGTTGTTAGGATGGTACTACAACGATAAAATGTGGTAAAATGTAGCATTTTTTGGCTGCAATGTATCATCCAGATTCCTAACATCTACTTTGAGATTGTGCCCTAAAGACTGCTCCCAGCTACTCTCCAAGTACAGGTTTTGTTCTAGGTTAACTTTGTTGTTTTTTGTCACCTTTTCTATGTCAAAAAATAACAAAAACTACCCCCAGCGGACCAAAACCTCTGATTGGAGATTACCCCAAGCCAATGCTGCACCAGTGAATGAGCCATGCATAACTGTCATGCTAATTAGTACAGCGTGATTAGCATAAATGGGACGGCATTAGCATGTACGGGACGGTCCATTGTCACCTGTATGAGAGTACTGGCTGCTACAGTCTCTCCAGACTTCAGGGGCTTGTCTTGGCTTGTTGTTCCCCTTTCGCTATCCGAGTCTACCTCCCCAAAACTTACGCACCCAAACAGGCCGGATCCTTTTTGCTTGGTGGCCTAACACAGAGAAATCATCTCACCAATAAGTATGTTGTGGCTAAACTATAAATAAAGCACCATGTACTTTATAGAGTCAGACTGAAGAAGACTTTGCAATGTATCTGTTTGGAGCTTTTGAATTTCATCTGCCACCATTATCATACAAAGATTATTTTCCACCCATGCCAACAAAAATAAAATGAGGAAAAATTTAGGGGTTATGGTTACAAGAACAACATGAGCTCTAAAGTAGCCCAACATTTGACAGCTTAGCTAATATTATCACTTTCTGAAATCTATTACATTGTACATTTTTTTTCATCAAAATGGCAATGCTCTCAACTTTCAAAGTGAAAGTGCCATCTCTGCATAGATGGTTGTAGCAATAAAGACGTTCCCAAATAACAGTTTGTTGTGGTCCCTCTAAGTTTAACCAGGTACATGCAGGAATCTACAGGTAAGGGAAACACTGACGAGTATTTGTTCTCTTGGTTCATCATGAGTATGAAAATGTGATACTAGTGTTCCCAACCACCTAAGATTATTTTAACATGTACACCAAAGCAAGTGATGTGATATGCATCATGCAAATATAACTTTGTAATCATACATATGTTAAAAAAAACAGGAAAAGCTGTACATTTGTGATGTCCCCAAAAGCTGCTCTTCTCTTGGCCACTCCGTCTGCTGTCTCGTCCGATGGTCGCTTCGTGCCGCCGCGAGTCGTCTTCTTGTCATGGTGGACCTGCCAAGGGAAGATCATGTTCAAAAATCGGTCTTTTCATCGGTCAACAGCCAGCCAAACATATTATTAGCTATTACGTTGACCAAAATGTAATTTTCACTCTTTACCCCCCACAAAAAGTTTATAGATATATACGTCTTATATATCTGTAAACGCTTTGTGAGTGGTTTGGGGTCTGACTCTTGCCCACACGTTCAACTACAGACTAGCCTGGGTGCCAGACCAATAGCACATTGGACAAAAAGTATCTCAGTGATGCGAGATACTTTGTGTCCAGTGTGCTATGGGTCTGGCACCCAGGCTAACTACAGACCTATGTTTGATTTTGAATTATAAAAAGGCCTCCACTTGTAGGTATTGCAGTGAAAACTTGCAAATGCAGGCCAAATGTGTTTTGTAAGATTCTGAGTCATAGTTTGATCATTCAAGCTGGTGGTATGACTCACCATGATCACTCACTCTACCACATGGTGTTTGTGTAACTTTGTGGTGTTGCAAAAAATTTGTAACAAAAGATCTACATATATATAATGTATCATCTATGGCCTAGACTGAAAATCAAAATATTTCTACCGCATTATTGCTTTTATTAGGCCATACAGATAAATTTGGGGGTAATGATTAAAGCTCATGACACATCTGGGGCCAAAATTTTTAACTGTTGAATAACAAACAAGTTTGTTTTGAACAACATATTTTACACACCAGTGTCAAATTCTACAAAGTACAGCATACAAGACTTTCAGATAGCATGGTTAGCTTTAGCAACAAAATATATCCACAATATCTGTAGAATTACCAGAGGAACTGCTTTTTTCTGTGGATTGAGCGCGCCAAGACCCCCGCGTTGAGACCGTTTGGCAAGCGGCATGCCTGTTTCTTGTTGTCTTCAGACAGTTGGGGACAAAAAACAACCGCCTTTGCGTCACCCAAAAATATCCACACACAGTCACAAACAATTCTGGAACTCTCTACAGCAAAATCTGTGGAAAAAAAAGGATTAAGAAATGTTAGCAAAGCTGAGGAAAATAAACAAATTCAGCTTGTTTTTGAAACGGAATTTTTAGAAAACGACGCCATATTTGCTTGACAAAAGATCGACGTGTCTGTTTTTAAAAACGTTGTGCTAAAACGGTAGATTTAACAGAATTTCACACGAAAATTTCACCTAAGTATACAACATAAATGTATACTCAAACACTATGCATTGCATAAAACATTCTAGATCTATTAAATACCTTCAAAAACGCTGAATTTGTGTCTCAAAGTCCACACACACAACTGTCGCAAATTCCGGAAGTGCTACAAGCGATCTGAAAGCCCTTTGAAAGATGCTACATATGCAAATTACGTGCTCTGATTGGTCCGCGGTTCCAACGGACAACCAATCAGAAGTCAGAAGAACGGAAACTAGAATTTGCGTACAAAATAAGGGAATTTTTACAAAATTACTCAACGTATACAATCTAAATTTGGTCTAAAATTGTGGCAACCGTGGTTTAGATCGCAAATGCCGACTAAAATTGACATAAAGACTTGTTTAGCCAGTTCGCCATTGTTCGGCAATGTTCGGATGTTTCCGGCTCTAGGCGAATGGTGCCGGACATTGACGAACACGACTGTTTCTAGTTCTTTCTGGGCTGGTATTATATATTTTAAATATATGAGATCATATGATGTTAGTTTATACGTGTCAAATCTAAATACTCGATAAGGTATCAAGGTAGTATGTAAATACATGTATTACAATGAGTTTGAAGAGCGATCTGTCATTTGTAAGACCAGAAAAAGTGCGCACCCACCAGAGATAGAAATGGGACACTCTAGAAAACTCATCTCCAAGCAGATCCCTTTCGGTGGCAACAAGACAGTATCAAATTTGCCAGGCAGTATCCATTAGCCAGAGAATGTCGACGGCCACCGGTGGTGGGGGTCAGGACAAAAAAAAAAACGGTCATGTAACGTTAATAATAATAATAATTACTCTCCAAGCAGAGGTTGTGGGGGGAATGATCGTTACATTTTTATATATGGCCGTTTTTTTTTTGTTTTTTTTTTGTCCTGACCCCCACCAACGGTGACCGCGGAGCTTCTCTGGCTAATGGATACTGCCTGGCCAATTTGATACTGTCTTTTTGCCACCGAGAGGGATCTGCTTGGAGATTAGTGGCCGCGGACCTTCTCTGTTTATATATCCAACTGCCTTCTAAGTAGGGTATACAGTCATATTACGAACTACCTATACTTTGAACATTAAACTTTTAACTATTCTTTGATATTTCATTATTTTTTTTCACCACCAATCTTCCAAACATCTGTTGTGATTGGTAGAGGCTATACAATTATAGCACAATAAAGGTTTTGTAGAACTGTTGACTTTTACGTTATATAGGGCGAAGTCCACACTTCCAACACTACAGTATAGTCTGGTGAGGACCAAGTTCAACTGACCCTGGGTTAATGTTTATGTGGAGTGAAGCGGCATTGGTAGGTTATTGAGGGTGCATGATTTCTCTGGACTATGATTGGCTATGCATGACGTCACAGTTTGAACTCTAGATGCCCTACCTAGATGTAAGAGTTACTCTAGATCTGTGTAACACATACCCACGGGCAGTGACTTTTGTGGCATAGATCCAAGAGATAGCTAGAAACAGAAGTGTAGTACGAAGTCGAAGGTGAGTATATATACATATTGTTTGTTTGTTTGTTTGGAGGTAACGACTTTGTAAAGGATATACTGATCCTTTTCATGCCTATCTCTCAGATTTCATACTATGAATCGTAATTTAAAAAGTGGTAATTTCAAGTGTCTTGTGCATGACCTGTCGAACAGGTGTGTATATAACTTTCGCCATTCTGCCGGGTACTAAGACCACTAGCCTCCGTAGCAGGCTAGTGGTAACTCGGTAACAATAGTCATCAATCCCTGTAGACCTCACCGAAGACCGACGTTGACAAATGCAGTCACTTTCTCAGAAGTTAACTATACTGGTGGATTAGCAAGAGGGGTCCGGAAGTGACGATGACTACTATATCCGGAAGCATAACTGTTAAATCCATGACCACTTGCATTCAACGTCGTCTTCATTATGTGGCTCCACCGGTGAGGCATTCACATCTACACAGGCCGATACGTTTTTCCGATCTAAATACCTTTCCTACAATCTTCCTCACCTTTGCAGGTAACCAAGAAGATAACTGTGCTGACGTAAAGCCGTGAACACGTCCTTTAAGATGGCCTGCTCTAAGGAAAAAGGTAAATTTTGCCTTAGTTGAATATAAGAATTTAGTTGCTACTATATACTTTAATCTTTTAACTTAAGATAACTGTGCTGACGTAAAGCCGTGAACACGTCCTTTAAGATGGCCTGCTCTAAGGAAAAAGGTAAATTTTGCCTTAGTTGAATATAAGAATTTAGTTGCTACTATATACTTTAATCTTTTAACTTGTGTTATAATCACTTTTGCTTCAACTTACAGACGTAACACAACAAAGCAGCCAACAACAACTTGTTCTTAAAGTGCACAAGGAAATTGGCTAGATTCAAAATCATGATGAAAAGATTCTCAAAATCTATCCAGTTGCTTGAGCAACAGTTTTCTTGTGTATCTTATTCATGTATGCTCGTGGACCTAGAAAAGAGATGGTATGTCTAATCTTCGTCGATTTGTGTATACTATTGACACAAATCAAAACAGCGTGTTGATCACAACCATTTATCTTTACGAGCCGACGTTTCGATGATCGTCTGTCATCTCCATCAGGGCAATTCTGACTGGTTTACTGTGCACTGACGCTAGATGTTACTTGGTGCATAGTGCACTAAAGGTGTTACATAGTTCACAGTACTAGTACGTATGTGACAATGCTAAATTATTACAGATGGAAAACAGGGTGTTGTTTCAAACTTAATCTTGTACTTCAGAGAGTCAGATCCGTGAAGACATGAAGGAGTACTACGGCAAGACCATCCAGAACCGGGATGAGCTGTTGATTAATAACCAGGAGCTCGAGGCCGGTGGATGCCGGGAAGAGTCTAAAATTAAAGACCAGGAGGCCAGTGGATGCCGGGAAGAGTCGAAAAATAATGACCAGGAGGCCGGAGGGTGCCCGCTCGCTAAATGTAAACTGCCCCGCCACGTCACAGAGGCTCTGGCGATGGTCCACCCGGACGTTCAGGCCAAGTGAGTCAGGTTAACGTTAGTGACCAAACTATTTTGAACTAATGAATGAATAAAGTCATTTATTTGTTTAAAGTTAAAACTTTTGGTCACATAGAGCTTTCGACCAGTCACTCTGGTCTTCCTCAGTAGACTGGCCCAGGAAGACCAGAGTGACTGGTCGAAAGCTCTAGGTGATGAGAGAACTTTTTTGTATTGGACCAAAAGTTTTAACTTTAAACACAGATGAACTTTAATGAAAGTCATTTATTGTACGTAAATACCCACCGGCCGGGTTAAGTACAGGTCACAGCAGAAGAATAGAATATAGATAACGTTAGGTAAGTAAGTAGATTCAGTAAGAATTTAAAAACACGTTCATATATATGGTGACAGGAGTCTAAATCCCTCCTGCTATAAAATTGCAACATGGTGACAGACGTCTGATTCAGGTCATTGACCTTTTTTGTTTGGAGAAGAAGAAAAGAAACAGAGCAAACACAATATGTTTTCCTTCTGTGAAGGTAAACATACTGATATAAAAACAAAATAGGTTGTTGATGGCTTTCTTCAGGGGTTACGTCGGTGGCTCAACAGTTAGAGAGTTGGACTTATAGGTCCCGGGTTCGATACTCACTGTGGCCCGACGTTGTGTCCTTGGGAAAGACACTTTACATGACTTCTCCACCTGTACGGTGAAGCCCACCGAGCCTAATAGGCTAATCTGTCTAACTGTGTCCCAAAACACACCCTACGGATTTGGTGCGCCAATATGTCAACATCTGCACATTTGCCACCGAGAGCCGTTAAATTTTTTTCAGGAGTTACGGGTGCGGCTTGCCAGTTCCAGAGTTGTTGGAGGGGTGCCACGTGTTGGACCTGGGCAGCGGGGCCGGACACGACTGCTTTACTCTGGCCAAACTGGTGGGCGAGACGGGCCACGTGACTGGCGTGGACATGACGGAGGAACAGGTGCGTAGGTTTGTAAACATTGCCATCACGATCCGCATCATAGCCGCATTGCAACAGTATATAAAGCATCAGTTGTGAATGGCAAAAGCCAAAAGTGGGGTCGTGTGGCGTAACGACAGAGTACTCGACTCGGAACCAAGAGGTCCCGGGTTCGAGTCCTGACATGCCCCCGATCTTGTGCCCTTGGAAAAGGCACTTTACACGACTTTCCTCACTTCGCTCAGGTGTAAATGAGTATTGTATTGTCCCCTGTGTTGGTGGTAATGTAAGTTAATGTAAGGAAAAAAAAACTTTTTTTGAGTGTTCCCCCGCCACGTCTTGTGATTACTAGTACATTTTCAACTAAAAAAAATGTTACAGTTGGACTTTGCCAGGCGCTACACCGACTACCACCGGGAGACGTTCGGCTACTCCAAACCCAACACGGAGTTCGTCCGGGGGTACATCGAGAACCTTGGCGAGGCTGGGCTCAGGGACAACACTTTTGACGTCATCATATCCAACTGTACGGTCAATCTCTCCCCGGACAAGAAGGCTGTCTTGGGGGAGGCATATAGAGTTCTGAAGGTAAATTTGAAGGCGTAAAACAATGTTACATTTAGAACTGCATATTGTTAAGTTTTCTTTTGATGCCCACGATCACGATAATGATCATTCTGGCCTCATGCCTAAATTACGCTACACGATCAAACTTAATTGTACATTAAATGATTCATATTTAGAGGAATTCTTCAAAATTTAAAACGTTTAATACGAACATTTACTATCTGAACTTGTTCTGGATAGTCTCTCCGTACCCAAGAACCGACCGACCGACC